TCGAATCAGCAGCAGCAAGAGCCAACAGTAAACTTGGTAGACTTAAGAAAATTTTTAGAAGTCTTGGACTCTTTTTGTGGAAAGTACTCTACAAAACATATATAAGACCCCAGTTAGAAACAAACTACAAAATGATTTTGTTTTTGAACATGCAACATATAAATGGATATTAATGAAAAATTATTAATAGAAAACATTTAAATCCGTAAAAAAAGAAATTTCTGTTAACACGTCAATTCATTACTAAAATAATGAAACAGTATTATTCAAACAGTTTGTTTAAATATACTAATTATAAATCCTAAGATACTATTTTGTAGCTGTTTGTAATGATTGCAAGCAATTCTCTAGAAAAAATTCTCTTTAAAAAAATATTGTCTAGAGAGCTCTCTAGACAATATTTTCTAACAATTGTTTAAAATAGCGATAAGCGATTATGGAATACTCTCTGCCGATAACTTGAAAAATATTTGATAAATGATTCTAAATTTTGCGATATGACAGCAGAGTTGATAATGCCGACCGGCGGCAAAGTAATTTTTTGCCTAAAGGCCAACTTTTTAGGGAGGTGGAAGCTGTAGGCGGCGGCCTCCCAATCAATTTTTAGCGACAAAATGTTATTTTTTCCGCCCTTCTGTTGGCGGCCGCAGCCAGAGTTATTTTTTGGAGACAAAAGGCCGGGTGAAAAAAAAAAAGCAATTGCTTTTACTTAGTAATTGGTCAGTTTTACGTGAATAAAAACGTCAGGAGTTTTGCACAAATTTTTATTCAAGTAAAGTTAAGCAATTTACTCAGTAATTGCTCAGCTTTATGTGAATAAAAACTTAATGAAAATTGAACAAATTTTTATTTACGTAAAGCTGACCATTTACTGAGTAAAAGCAATTGCTTTTTTTTATTCACCCGGCCTAAAATATTTTGGAGGCCAACGCCATTAGGGAAGCGGAAGCCATCGGTGGTCACCTCCAGAAAAAATTGTGGAGGCAGAATTATTTAGAGGCCAACTCTGATGGCTTCTGCCTCCAAACTGGCTGCGGCCGCCGAATTGGAGGCGGAAATATTTGCCTCCGGATGTAATGTAAGCGGATGTAATGAAAAATAATTGCACATTTGCTTTTAAGTTAACGAGCAATTAAATATTAATTAGAAACAAATGTTAAATATTTGAAGTCAAGTTTCATTTTATATGTTTGCTTGCAAAAGTTTTAAGTATTTAAATTTTTTTTTTTTTTTTTTTTAAACTAATGAATTAAATTGTCAGTTTTTGATAAATTTTTTTTAATGTAAAAAAATTTTTTGCGTCTTTACAGTAACATTACTGTCTTACCTATAATTAATGTTTATTAAAAACTTCTTTGTTTTTATTTTTCAAAGTTTCTTAGAATACATACATACATCGATAAATATAGCCGTAGTCACAGTGTAGTGTACATAGATAGATAGATATACGATAGAACACATACATACATCGACTAATATAGCCGTAGTCACAGTGTAGCATACATAGATTGAATGACATTTTTTTATTATATAAACTTTTATTTTGCTGATTAAACAGTTAAAATTACAATTTTTATGTAATCATGTAAAAAGTATTTGAGATTGTTCTTATACTTGTTCTTAAAAATTAATATCTGGAATGTGTTAAGCTTCTCAATATCTAGAATCATCATGCTTTTCATCACCGGGGCTGGGTTTACTAACCTATTCAAATAAAATTCAAGTTTATAACTTTGCATGCATGGTTTTGTAGGCTTTGCAATTTTAGCAGATTTGTTTTATGGGTGCTGGCCCATACAATATTTGCGTACAAAAGTTGACATTGTACAAGTCTAAAGTGAAACATATTACGCGATTTATTATCGAGAAAAGGTCTCGACTTATACAAAACACCTATTACAGAGGACACCTTAGTTTCAAGAAAACCAATATTTGATTTCTCCATAACAAATTTTCATCAAAAAGCACTCCCAAAAATTTTGTACATTTTTCACGCGTGACTTCATTTTTATTAATAAGCAGTTTAGGAAGCTTTAAAGGGAGATTAATTGATTGTTTTTTTTATAAAAAAGGGTAAAACTAGTTTTTTGACAATTTAGGGATAATTTATTTGCTATGAACCAGAGGTTGAATTTTTCAAGTTCAATATTCATAGTTTCAAACAAAGTCTTTGCATCAGGATTATTAAGAAATAAATTTGTATCGTCAGCATGCATAATTGTAGATATTTTTTGGGATGCTTTATGCATATCGTTTATACAAATTAAGAACAACAATGGACCTAGGATTGAACCCTGAGAAACTCCACACGTAATATCAAGGGCTCCTGACTTTTCTAGTAATACAAATTGCTTTCTGTTAGACAAATAGCTTTGAATCCACTTAAATGCTGAGCCTATTATACCGTATTATTTTAGCTTGGAAAGTAAAATACTGTGATCAACCGTATCAAAGGCCTTGAAAAGATCAACAAACACTCCTAATACCAGCTCATCACTATCAAACAACTTAAATATTTTGTCAGCAAGTTTAAAAATAGCATGTTCAGTAGAACACTTAATTTGAAATCCAAACTGATTTTTGTATAATAAATTGTTTAATGTAAAGTAATTGTTAACTCTGTTATAAATTATTCTCTTAAATACTTTTGAAAGTACTGGAAGAAGAGAAATAGGTAGGTAGTTGGAAACATTATTGCAATCACCTTTTTTGCAAATTGAATTAATTTTGGCTAATTTAAGTTTGTTAGGGAATATACTATTTTCCCTGACAAACTTAAATTATAAATATAAATGATATTAAACAAAAGACATAAATAGAGGGTTTACCCAGTGAGCACACGTCGTCTCGGATTACGTTCGCTGGAAGTCTATACATAAGACGTCCGACGGACGTCCCCCGGACGATGCATTCCCACTGGATAGGCTTTGACAGGCATTTTTAAACTAAAAGAATTTCAATATTTATTTAAATAGGGTTTAGTTAGTGGTTAATCTATTAATCTAATTTATATTAAAAGTTGTTAAATTACAGTGGATTTTTTTGATGAAAAAGCCAAAACAAATATTTATAATTTATTATTGAAACTAAACTGAACTAAACTATGTACAAATAAGCGCAAACAAATAAAAAAAGAATTATTCGAACGCGCAAATATACAAATAATGCTTGCAGATATTTTATAGTTTTGAACGTACAACAAGAAACATCACTGAAGCAATTAAAATATTTAATAAACTAAATTTAAATATTTTAATTCTTTTTAAATTCAATTTTCAATTCTTTTTAATTTTCAATTCTACCTTTTTAAAATTTTAAACGTTTTACACTTTTAATCGCTTAAAACTTTAAAACGTGTAAAAGTAAACGCGTAAAAGTAGATGAGTCTATATTTTTAAACGTTTTAAAAGTATAGAGTAAAATATAAATAATATTTATAAAAGCATATATACTTGAAGTTTATAATTTTTGTTGTTGTTGTTGTTGTTGTTGTTGTAATTTGGCAAAACTATAGCGTAATACAGCGTGGTCGCAATTTTTTAATAAACATTAGCAGATATTTTTTCAATAACTTTTACAATATCCAATTATTAAAAATAAGTATTTAACGTTATGTTAAATGATAAAAAAGACTATAATATATAAAAAAATTTTAGCATGTCTACTTGTTTAAAAAAACTTTGACAATTTAATTACTTATTATAATTTCTTTTTTTTTTTTTGTCAAAAAGATTTTTTTTGTCAAAAAGATCAAAAATATTTGCCAATGGCACAGAAGTAAAATTTCCAACTTTTAACTTTTGTTTTGAATAATAAAACTACTAATTTATTCTACTTAATCATTAGTCATTAACATTTTTTTTTGCTTAAGGCATGTAAACAAAATTTTTAATTTTTAACATTTGTTTTGAATATGAAGTTACTAACTTGTTCAAAAGTCCTAGAAAAAAACCGCTCTGACAAAATTATTCTTTTTTTTTTAAAAAAATTATTTAAATAGTCAATAAATCATATAAAACAAACCATTGTGTCAAATATTTAACATTTGTTCTCAGTTAATATTTTAATTGCTCGTTAACTCAAAGACAAACGTGCATTACATCCGCCGACGGAAGGCAAATATTTCCGCTTCCAATTTGGCAGCCGCAGCCAGCTTGGAGGCAGAAGCTATTAGAGACGGGCTCCAAATGGTTTTGCCACCAAAATTTCTTCTGAAGGCAGCCACAATTGGCTTCCGCCTCCCTATTGACGTCGGCCTCAAAAACATTTGGCCTCTGGCTGTGGCCGCTTGTAGACAGGCGGAAGCCACTGGAGGCATAATAAAGAACATTTTGCCGTTAATAATTTGGGAGCCAGCCGTCTTCTGCTACGGAAAAAAGTGGAGGCGAGAAAATTTACGCCGTTTATTAGCACTGTATAACACTAATAAAAAATCAAGCCGAACTGTTTGATTGACGCATTCAGGAACTTTATTTATTAGTACTAAATAAATTTTCTATCTGGAAACCTTAAATTAAAAAGACAAAGATGTGCGTCGACTTGAATACCCGCTGATTTAATATAGCTATCATAAAATATATTAAATGCAAGAACAATAACATCAAGACGTAATTTGTCTATTTTACGACATGATATGATATAGTTGCCATGAATTTATTTTAACTTAATAGTTTTGATCGCAAAAACAATACAAAAAAAAAAAAAAATTTTTTTGCAACAACTATAACTTTCTATTAAAAAAAGGGAGTTATATACAAAGTACTTTATAAAAAATATATAAATATATTAACGGTTTGTTTATTTTCGTTATTGTTAGATAATTTAAGAAATATTTTTTATCTTAAAATGATTTTACGATGGTCAGCCTTTATATATAAAAAATCAAACATTTCTCGAAAATTTTTTTCAGGAAAGTAATTACGCTCATTTTTTAAGCAAAAACCTGACGAAAAGAAATTCACATTTTATCAAACAAGTAATTCTAAAATAATACAAATTCGGAAATTATTATAACTTTTATTTAATTAAAAAAAAAAATTAAAATCAACTTTTCTAAATAAAAATATTTATCTTAGTGTGACACCGCGTGAGTACAAAAAGTAGTTAATTTATATATGAACTAGCTGCAACCAAAATAAACTTCTCCAGAAAGAGTTCGGAGTCAAGCATTGCGATATGTGCCGCTCTACCAATGAACGAGTCAGCAGAAGTAGGCATTGGATGGTAGACAGTATAACGAATAATATTGATGGATTCCTGCACCATTAGAGGGTTCATTATATTATCGAGCATTTCTTTGTATACGCGGCCTAAATTATATTTTGAAGTAAACAATAAAATGTCACAATAGTATGCATATGCACACAACGCTTATAAATTCACAAATTAATTTAAAAAATTGTATCTAGTTTGATATAATTTACAAAATTGTATCTAGTATATAGCAAAATGGTATCTAGTGACTTCATACAGCAACGAATAGTGTTTCTTACCCGGATTTTACCATCCTTGTTACCCGAGTAAATTGTGAATTTTTTTTCCCGTTACCCGGGAAAGTTTTTAAAATTACGCAGCCGTGACGCAGTGGTTCTGGTTCAGAACCCAGAAGTCTGAGGTTCGACGCAGGCTCTAGCCCAATAAGCGACATTGGTAAGGAAGGAGGCGTGAACTTCCTAGTTAAATAGTCTTCCGCGGTGCTCGGTGAAGACCGTAAGGACTTCTGTGAAGACCGTAAGGACTTCTGGAAGCACTTTAATAACTACAAGAAAAAAAAACCATGTAATTTTAATTTTTTTTAAATTACATGAATTTTTTGTAAATACATGCACTTATCAAATTATTGAAAATCTCTTTACGAAGAATTTGTTTTATTTATTCAAAAGACAGAGCATGAAGTTAACACCGTAGATGAAAATGGGTTTAAAGATTTTGAAGAAACACATGAGTTTATTTCAAGTTACCGATACAAAACCGAAAAATCCTGAAAACCTTAAAAACTTTCAACTTTTTTTTCAGCCATTGAAAAAATTCCAGCAAAAAAAAAAGATTGCACTACCACTTTAATGCACCAGTTCGAAAAAAAAAAAAAAAAAAAAAAAAATTTGAGTAGTTTAAAGATAAAAGTTATAAAACTTTTTAATTGTTAAAAACTTATTTTTTTATCACAAATGACTAAACTTACGTCCCCAACTTTTCATGCCCTCTTCTTTTGTGCTATAATATCAAGAAAAAATAAGGAATAAATTATTGACTTTTATTATCTAAGTATTATCCGGATAATACCTGCTTGGTGTAGTTAAGGCAATTTCAAAATATTATAGCGTTTGTATATTTTGTTGACCACGACTTACCCAGCCAGCAAGTCATACTGGTCATACTACATGTACTACAAGTCATACTGGTCATACTACATACAGTCATACTACATGGGGCCCAAGTGGGCAGCTTTATGGGGCCCAAATGGGTTGCCCACATCCCGCCCAAGAAAAATTGTCGCTGGGCGTGAATTGGGCGTGAATTGGGCAACCCATATGGGTTACATATGTGGGAACCATATGGATCCCACTTTTTTATTTATTTAAATTTTTTATAATATATTGAGTAATTATTTATTTATTTTTAAATTAGATACATATAATTTAATATGTAGTCATAAACATGTGACTTGAGTCTAGCTTTATAGAAGTATTACAGGAAATCAAACATAGAAAGAGTAAGGTAAACAGCAATAAACATTAATAAATATAACACATTATTTAAATAACAAAATAGTAAAAGTAATAGTCATATAAATAAGTATATTTAAAGTTTAAGTTTAATAGAAATCTTCATAGGTCCTCTTCATGAGCTTTCATTATTTACATTTTTGTTTATGGATTTATAAAAACTCAAATAGCGTATACTCTTTCAAAAACTTTTTTATACAAAAAAGTTTTTGAAAGTGTATGCGCTATTTATATTTTTGAAAGTGTATACGCTTTTTTTTTCAGTCTTTTAAAACTGACTTAGTTGTTTAAGTTATCGTTAATGTTCAAAGAAATAATTTGCAAATACAATTTAAAACTCTTTTACTACAACTATCACATGACATTGATAGCACTATTACGGGGTCTTTGAAATGATTTGACTTTAAATAAAAAGAAGATTTTTAGAAAAAGATTTTATTTGAATTTAGTTTAAAATTTGAGAAAAGCTTTAAGGCGTAATTACATTTGAGAAACGTAAAGGGGTTTTCATAAAGTAAGATCGGTATTGTGATTTATACTCCTCCAGCTATTTGCCTAATGGAGTACCTCATACCATAGCACGCACAATCGGGTGACATTTAAATTTAGAAATAAGATGGAATTTAACGCTTTTTTAACTACATATATGGGCCCTAAATGGGCCTCATGTGGGCGCCCTTGAATACAGTTTTGTATTCAAGGGCTAGCCCACATGGGGCCCATTTTTGGCCCATATATAAAGTCTACATAGAGCCCACTTGGGCAAACCCATATGGACCGCATTAGGATATGTTCGCTGGGTATTTCCTTTAAATGATAGGGTCTGTGAATTATAAAAAGATGAAAAAAAAAATAAAATTATAAATTTTTCAGTATCATAAAATGTAAATGTTTATAGCAAAAAAACCCAGAACAAAGATTCTTTTTTTTAAAAAAAAATCTTTTTAAAATCCCAATTGCTTGTCCAAATTTGAATAAGATTTTTAATACATAGTTTTTTAATGTTAAATGAAAATCATAGTTTAATAATATGTTCTGATAATTTATTGAAAATTTTTCTTAATTATAAGCTCTTTCTTGGTCAGAATTCTTGTATTTTTTGTGAAATTGATAGAAATATTGTATTTTGACAACTATATATAGTTAATATCGGTCAGAACCGATTAGAACTAGAATCTATAGTAAAATAAGGCACTTTTTCAAAAGATTTTAACTAATTTCATATTAGCACCGATGAGCGAAAGTGATCTAAAGACTCCAAAATAGTGTTCTTTAGATTCAATATTAGGGCTAACAAAAAGGTTTTGAAAATTATATATAAAAAAAGAAAAGTTTCTTTAAATATTAAAAAAACCTGAAGAAAAAAAATTATAACATCTAAAGCTTTTGTTTGGACATAATGCGCTAATAAAATCATACTAATTTCAAATAATAGAATTAGAATAATTTCTAAATCGCCTTAACTACATCGAGTGGGTAAATTAAAAATTACCAGGATATATTTTTTCTACCAGATAATGGAAACACTGGCAAGAAATAACATTAATCTTTACTCTTCTTTATGTATTGAAGATAAGAGTTTTGAACTCTATTATTAAAAGTATTAATTTTTAAAGTTAAATTGAACTTTAAAAATTAGCTTTTATATATTAATAGTAAAAAAAAACACCCAAAAATGTGTTTTTTAAAATGGGTTGACAATGTGTAGTTATCTTTGAAAAAAAAATGTCTCCATGTCAAGCGTCATTGCTTAAATGCAGGGGTATAACTGTGTGTGTGTGGCAAGATTTACAAGGAAAACTCGTTGCCGCGGCTATTATTGGAGACTTGCTAAGTTTGTTTTCAAAACTTCAATTGTCACTTTTAAAGCATTTCCATTGATTTGTGAACTATGAAAGTACTCTTTACACCATGAACACATTTAAACTGTACTAAAACAAGAAACCAATAACTTTTTTATTGGTTCTTGCTCCTTTATGTAACCACCAGCTACTGTTGCTCAAGCTCAACGCCTGTCTGACAGTATCTTTATAATTTATCAGCATTACTGTCTCCTTTATACATAAATACTACCTGTCCACACCATAAACCATAAGTCAAAGTATATACTTTCCATATTTCAATATTACATCATAAGTGACAAGCAAACCATAACCAGCATTAAAAATATATCTTATTAAATATTGAAACTCAATTTTCTCCTAAATGTAAAGTTGACTTATAAGTTAATTTGAAAATAGTTTTGGGCATTAAAAACTTGATTTTAAAATTATTTTTGGATCTCCACGGACCCATTTTAGGCCAAATTTAAAAAAGCTATTTATTTTTTATATTTCTATTGATATATTTTGATCTAAATACCTTTATTGACCTAAATAAATAATTATAAATATAATAATAATAAATAAATATCTTTATTGACTTAAATGTGGAGCTTATTAAATTAAATTATTTCAGATATCATCAAAGTTTTTCATCTGTAATTGATATTTAGGTTAAAAGATACAAAGCAAAAAAAAACCTAGTCAATAATAATAAGTAGTTACAAACCAGACTGGTCAATTAACCTGAAGAATATTTTTAGTCAAAAGATTTAAAAAAAAACTATTTCTAGTCAACCTGAAAAATATTTTTAATCAAAAAAAAAAAAAAAAATCATTCATTCATCCTAATGTTGAGTTTAGAGTATTTAATTTATTACAAAACCTAAAGCAAAGAATATACAATAGCTTTGCAACAATATCTACACAGTGAAACTCAATTATACCGTGTTCAGTGTTTCCTTTGAGAACTTGCTTGCTCATTTCAACACGTGCAGAATGGAATGGGACATAATGATCTTGGACAGAACTAACTAGCAATACATTCTTGAAATACTGAAAAC